ATGTTTATGTGTATTTGCCACCTGTATGCATGTGTACCGTGTTTGTGCAGTGCCTGTGGCGATCAGCAGATGGTGTCAATCATTTCCCCTGGATTTGGAATTAGAGGCAGTTGTGAGCCACCTTGTGGGTGCTGGTAACTGAACTTGGGTCCTTTGGAGGGATAGCCAGTGGCTTAACAGCTGAGCCATCTCTTTAGCCCTACCCTTTGGAACTTAAAAAAGAAATTGAACTCTAGTTCACGTTTTTGAAAGGCCTGAAAGAATATATACAACTTAAAGTCCCTGATGGGAAAAAGAGAAAGAACAGTGAGAGATTTGTAGTGATTGGAAACTTCATTTTTTTTTTCCTTCGAGACAGGGTTTCTCTGTGTAGCCATGACTGTCCTGGAATTCACTCTGTAGACCAGGCTGTCCTTGAACTCAGAGATCTGCCTGCCTCTGCCTCCCAAATTCTGGGATTAAAGGCTGCACCATTACCACTTGGCAGGAAGCATCTTACAATATTCTGAGTAGGTGGCATAAGTATGAGGCTGTCCATAACAACAAATTTGATGTGCCTTTAACGTCTAGTAAGCTGAGCCGCTCCGGAGGCTTAAGCACACCATCCTGGAAGCCATGATGACCTGTCTATAAGCGAATGAACAAAGTGATGCACAAGGGCCGGGGTGGGGACTAGCCTGTTGCACACGTGCCTTCTGTCAGTCACCAGTCCTGTGAACAAAAGCAGAGCCCCATCTCAGATGGGGAGTTTACATTCACAGATACTGGGTAGCATTCTGAGAGGTGGCTGTGGAAATCAGTCATGTGCCTAAGGCTGAATAGGAGGAAGAGAAAGGACAGTGTTAGCCCAGTGAGAATTTCAAGAGCACGGCAAGGACACTGTTGGGTACACAGTGGGGGCTGCTCTCCTCCAAAGGGACAGCCACTGTAGCAGGCGCCTTGTGGCAGCCCAGACTATTGGGAAAGGTAGCTCACTATGGAGGGGGGTGATCCAGATTGCCTGAACCCCAGCAGCGAAGGATGCTGGGGTGCCTTCTTGTAGTAGCGTGTGCCCAGTTGATCTGCACACCTCCTCTTAGTTCTCAGCTTGAGCCATATGGTGACGACTGTTCTGGGGCTGAGATGGGTGGAGCTCTTGGAGTCCAGCCTCCTTTTACTTTATGAAGTTTCATCTCTTTTTGAGTCTTATGTCTTTTTTTTTTTGAGGCAGAGTTTCTCTGTGTATCCCTGGCTGTCCTGAAACTCGCAGAGTTCTGTCTCTGCCTTCTGAGTGTGGGGATTAAAGGCCTATCTGACTGGAGTCTTTTTTTGATTTATTTTTATTTTATGTATGAGTTTTGCCTGCATGTATGTGTGTGCCACCTGTGTGCCTGATGCCCATGGAGGTCAGGAGACAGCGTCAGATCTCTGAGAGCTACAGTTAGAGATGGCTGTGAGCCACCCTTGGGCACTGGGAATTGAACCCAGGTTCTCTGCAAGAGCAGCCGGTGAGTGCCCTTATTTGGCTGAGTCACTCTCCAGCCCTCTTAACTTTCGTTCATCTATTCCTTTAGTGATGCCTTGGGTTAAAAACATTCTCTAATGTGCCATTTTTATTAACAGTTTTGAGTTATTTTCTTTGTTATTATTATCACTATCACTATTTTTGGTAGTTTGAAGCGGGGTCTCACTGTAGACCGGGCTGCCTGGAACTCACAGAGATCCACGTCTCTGCCCCCAGTGCTGGGATTACAGAGGTGCTCCACTAGATCTGGCTTTGGTTATTCTCTCAACAGTTGCCCAGGTTACAGGGAATTGAAATGCAGCCCCATCACCCCACAGCTCCTCAGATCTCCTCCAGCCTCTGCACTTTGTGCACTTGGCTTTGTTCTGTAGAGTGGATGATCTCACCTGACGGACTGATTTTCTGCCGGTTCAGATTGGCCAGTGAGCCCTCTAGTGAATGCTTGCTGCAGTTAGCTCTCCCTCACAGCGCCTCTTCAGTTGCTTTGTGTCGAGGATCCTGTGCACCCTGACTAGGAATCTTCTTCCTGAGCCCGGCCCTCATCGAGTCTTACAGCTGCTGTTTTGCTCTGTGCTAGGGTCTCCTTTCATATTTGCTTATATGTGTCTTGCTTGATTCTGTTTTGTTTACAGTGGGCATTTTGGGTGACTGCTGCGGATCTGACTGAGCTGCCTGAACGCCCACATTTGAACTAGTCGCTCCTGCCTCTGTGGAAGGGATGAGCTAACTATTGTTTCGGCGTTACTGTGGCCCTTGAAATCTCCTTAGCTAGTGACTGAATAGCGGCAGTGGCCCTCCAGCCTCTGCTGAGGGCCCATTGTATGTTGGTTACAGCTCTGTCTTAGCCTGGGAGCTTCATGCTTGTGCAGAGAGAGGTTCACGGCCAGCTGGAATCTAGAAGTCAGGGCTTTCTTACTGCCCCTGCTTCAAGTGCCCAGCAAAACCCCTGTTTGCGCCATGCTAGACTGCCAGAAATGCCGGGGTTTTCAAAGATCTTGGGGGCACTTACTTCTATTTTTCCTCTTGAGCTGTTTGGTCAGCATCTCGTCAGTCCCACCATCAGAGCCTTCTCAAATACTGCAGTGTTAAAACAACTGCTCTTCCCTCAAGATAGTGGTTTGTGGTGTACTTTTGGCAGGACCACAACTCACTGTAGCCCAGGCTAGCCTTGATTTCACCAGCCCTTCTGCCTTAGCTTCCTGAGTGCTGGGAGTTCAGGTGTGAGCCACCATGCTGGGCCAGCAGTGTTAAGCTCATTTGACCCTCACTGTTTGGAATAGCTGCCCTGCAGGTAAAACAGATCAGGTAAATCATCCTGAGTGCTTTCCAGCAATCAACCAGGCAGGTCAGCACTGCCAGCTCTTTAGGAATTAGGTTTGGTAAGCTCAAAGCCTGCCTGTCCCATCCTGTGCCTCCACCCCCACCACTGCTGGCTGTGTAGTTGTTATAAATCTGAGGCTGGTGGTTTTCAAGGAGCTGAAGGAAGAAGAGGTAACACAAGTTGATGGGCTAGTGCCTCACAGTCCTTACCGCGTCCAACCTTTCTTTTTTTCCTTGTTTGGTTTTAAAGATAGAGTCTCACCATGTACTTCTCGCTGGCCTGGAGCTCACTTTGTAGACCAGGCTGACTTTGAACTCGCGTATAATTGCCTACCTCTCCTGAGTGCTGGAATTAAAGGCATGCACCATCATGCCCTGCCGTTATCCTTTTTAATATTTATTTATTTATTTGTTTATTGAGTACTGGTCCTTAGAAGGTTCAAGCATTTCATCACTTCCCATGGTCCTGAAACAGTCAATAAAATAAAATATCTGCTGACACATGCTTAAGTATGGGTCCATGTAAACCATAGTTTACACATGGAGGTCCTCAACTTCCACCTTGATAGAGTTGTTCTTTTTTTATTAAACTTAATTATTGTGTATATCATTTGTATGGTGTGTGTGTGTGTGTGTGGTGCATATGTTTTTATGGTGCGCATGTTTGTATGGTGCCCGTGTGTTTATGGTGCATGTTTGTATGGTGTACATGTGTGTATGATGCATGTGTGTGGAGCACGTGTGTGTATGATGCATGTGTGTATGGTGTGATGCCCTTGTGTGTATGGCATGTGCACTCATGTATATAAGGCATGCATGTTTGGCATGCATGTGTGTATGGTATGTTCATATCTCAGCCTGTGTGTATGGAGTTCAGAGCCAGTTCTCTCTCACCTTTATGTGGGTTCTGAGGACTTGAACTCAAGTTGTCAGGCTTGTCCAGAAAGCACTGTGACTCCTGAGCCCTCTTCCTGGGTTTCTTACTCACCACTATGTATGTGTGCTGGCTGGCACTTGGATTCCAGGCGTCCTCCTGTCACCTGTCCACAGCTTTACCTGGCCCTGAGGATCCAAACTCAGGCCTTCCACTGCAGCAAATACCAGACCCACCAACCCGTCTCCTCAGCTCCTTTTCCTTTCCTGATTACAGTACTGGCCAGACCTAGAGCCTCTATGTGCTAGGTAAGCACGCGACCACTGAGCCATGGCCCAGCCCGGCCTTCAGTTTTGGTAGTGCTCTAATTGCACCACGGAGCGACAATCAGACTTTGAGACATCTTCACACCCCCATCCCAGCCGGTCCTGTCAGTCCTGTTTTCTTCCTCATCCTCCAAGGTCTGACGTAGTCCCAAGGAGTGGTAGCAGTGTAGGCTCTTGTAAGCTGCTGGCCCTCTCTGTTTATCAGGAGTGAACTTCAGTTCATGGACTCCATCCTGCATCTCCAGTGCATGCTGTAGACGGATTGTGTTGCTCTGTGAGGTCAGTTTCTCTTTTGCCCAGGGGAGTCCATGCTTTGGTGCATTGTCCTGTGATGAGGTAAGCCTGGTGCACCCCTGCTGAGGGCTGGAAAACAACAAACATTCTGAGAGTTAAAACAGTCAGTCCCTCCTGGTACTGTGAGGATTGGAGATTTGTGCCAGAAGTAACAGTCATTTCTCCACCATATATTGTGGGTCCTGCTCACCAGCTCGAGGGCTGTATTAATGCTGTTACTGTTTTAATCTGTGCGCATAAGAGTTCTTCATGCAGCATGAATTTAGTTAGATTAAAGCTTTCCACATCACAGGCCGTCAGACTCCCGCTTTGTAAAATGGTCATGCAAATTTGTCCACAAACTCACCTGGGAAGCTCCATGTGCTTGTATGGTCTTTACCGTGTTCAGTTTGTTCTTTTAGCATTTTGCGTATTGGTGCATTGTTTGTCTCTTTCATTTGTTAGATGATAATTTATCACACCATTTAAAATGTGACGTTACATGGTGGTATAACAGTTTTGAAATCTTGACAGATATAACTGGAAACATTTGCTTGTATTTTTTCCACCTCAGTGTGTTTTGTTAATGAGACGTTCTATGCTGCCATAAGCCCGGAGCTGTAATATAGGTGTTGATTGATTTTGGATGGCAAGGCCTCTCTAATTGCAGATCTTGACATTTGCGTCACTTGTGCTGTTCTAGGTGAGCAAGACATGGAAGGTGATTTCTGAAGACGAGGTGCTGTGGTACCGGCTGTGCCAGCAAGAGGGGCATCTTCCCCGGAGCAGCATCTCTGACTACTCCTGCTGGAAGCTCATCTTGCAAGAGTGCCTTGCCAAGGAGCATATGTTAAGAGCCAACTGGAAGGTAGGCAGTGGCCAGTGGCCTCCCCTGAGGTAGGGACAATGGACAGCAGGCCTGCAGTTGCTGCCTGAGGCTCATTCCCAGAGTGGAGGGAGCAGGGTGTGCTCAGCACCCCCAAGCCCTCCAATTGTTGAGTTCAGCATCTTCCTTACAGTTGCCCCTCTCTCGGCCTTGAGCCTAGAGCTTCTTTCTGCAGTGCAGGAAGGGGGCTGAAGTGGACTGTCTGACACCGCCTTTCATGACTGGTTAGGGTCACTGAAGTCTTCTCTGTCAAACCCCTCCTCCTTTCTCTTTCCTTGCCTCCCAGAGGGCCGACAAGGCAGCAGCATCATGCACCAGCAAGAGGCCCTTGGAGGCCTCTGTGGAGCTGCTGCTGGAGAGGTGGCGTGCTGCTGAGTGCTGTCTGCTCTTGCCTCACGTAACCCTTGGCTTGCTGCCCTGACATTTATCACTTTAAGGCTCTACAGAAATATTAGATCAAGCTAAGCATTTGCAGAGAAGCATTTCTGGGAGAGCAAGCTGTCAGGAAGCATGTTCCAGGGCTTGGTGAAGTACAGCAAGGTGGTGCATGGCCAAGCTGCTTCCCACCGAGGCAGCTGGGAATTCACCCATTGGAGATGGGGTAGAACTGGGCCCTTCTCTCACTTAAAGGTTAATCCAGATAGACTTTGAGTCAAGAAAGCCTTGTCGTGACCGGTAATGATATGTTGCCTATGTGATGTCTGGTCTGTGTGTAGTCACCTTGTAACCAGATTAATAACCAGTGCACTGGCTCCATAGCATCAGTGAGCAGCGCTCACCCCTATGAGATGGCCAGCTTCAGCACTGGTGATGTTAGACCAGCTCTTTTCAGGATGCCAAACAGTACACCAGGGTCCCCACCAGATGCCAATAGCACTCTGCCCTTGTTGTGGCACACAAGATCTCTCCTCTCCAGGTGTTACCAGGTATCCCCTGGGTGGCCAATTACTCCTAGTTAAGAACTAGTCATCACTGGAGAGTTGGCAAAGTCAGTCTTCTTAGTGCATGAAGACACTGCCAGTCAGAGCTCACTGGCCTCATGGTACCTGCATCCACAGAAGGTAACAGGAAGTAGGCTCCTATTTAGGTCTTCTGATGGATGGCAGAATGATCTGTGTAAGAAAGCTGCTTAGATGAAGCAGGGCCTAGGCACAGGCCGCAGTCCACCTGACGGCCGAGGGAAAGAAGGCTTGGAGCTGGGCTTTCCTACCTTTCTGTCCAGAGAGACAGGAACCAGGAGAGTAAGCTCGTCCCTGGCATTGAATTCAGAGATTTCAGAGCCAAGGGAAGGCAACAGCTCTGCTTATGCTGCTGCTTTGGGGTGGGGTGGGGGGTGGGGGCAAGGGGAGGAGGGCAGGGTGTCCTCATTTGGGCTAGAGGTGGTAGAAGTAAAGAGCCTTTGGCATTGGTAACAGTTCACAAGGAAGATGTGGTGCTACCCAATGTCTGTTCCCTGTTTTCTCCAGCGAGTGTAAAGCTACCAGGTGTGCTTAGTGTGGCGCTGTCTGTCAAGTGACCTGGTTAGATGGGCAGCAGGTGGCGAGTGAGGAACCTCTGCGTGCCCCCATTCTCATCTGGGTGGCTCAGAGTAAACACTGCTCCCAGGCCTGTGGCTGTGGGGAAGGTGACCCTAAGGATGGTCTGACATGTCCCCCATGGAGCCTGCCTGTGTTCAGGGCTCTGGCCAAGTCACAGGTACAGTGATTCTGACCTAACTGAGATCCCTTTCAGAGGGCAGGCAGTTGGCACGGTAACTCCTAAGTTAGTGTCTGAAAACCCCAGAAAGGACCCTAGAGTTCTGAGGACTTCCTCCTAAGGCATGAGCCATGAATGCATGTCTACCTGGACCTGCAGCTCAAAGCTGACTGGAAATGAGTTGCCATAAAGCTTCCCTTCTGGCCTTTGCCTCGCAAATGCCAGGAAGGATGAGATATTTAATGTCCTAGCTGCTTGCTGTTTTTCCCTCTCCCCAATAGGGGAGCCAGGACCATCTGGATCTAGAATGGGAGGCAGCTTCTCCACTTCTGAGCTCAAACAGCGCCTGCCAGTACCCATGTAAAGATCGTTTCAGCGATCATGGGAAAAAACCCAAAGTCACACGAGGGCACATAGCCGGGATCTGCCTCCTTCCACCCTCTCACTCCCCACCTATGTTCCCAGGGAGCACCCCAAGTTCAGGCTTAGGCTTTTATTCAGAGACCATTCCCAGAGAAGTCAGACTCTTAGTCAGAATGGCATCTTTTCTGCCCTCTCTGGTCTATGTCCCCTGTGAGCGTTTCATTTATTCTGAAGTTCTTTTACGCGTCCACTAAATGCTTTCTCCTGCAAGCTGAGCTGCTTAAGGTACTTGATGCACTGCTTCGGGCCCTGCCCTGCTCAGGGACACTTACCTGTGTGCTCATGCTTCCTACTGGTGACATACTGGGGACAGGCCAGCACCTCACGTTCACTGCTCCATGCAGTGCTTCTGGTATAGGCTCACCGTGTTGCCATTTTATCCTCCTGAATGCCCAGTGTTGCCAGTGAGGTCAGTGCCACTGAAGATGGCTGTGGCATGTAAGTGAGACAGAGCATGTTTTTAGGGGGCCACCCCAAGACTGGTACAAACCACACCCCTTTTCCTCACAGAATCGCAAAGGAGCCGTGAGTGAGCTGGAGCACGTTCCTGATGCCGTTTTGTGTGATGTGCGCTCCCATGACGGTGTCGTCATCGCAGGGTAAGCAAAGCCATGTTCCTTTGCATCAACTCAATCTGTGCCTTCACTTTCTGCCCTCTGCCCAAGTACCCAGTTGGGTACTATTGCTCTTAGGATTCTCTTCTAGGGTCTGGGAACCGTACAGCAGGGGTGGGTGGGTGGAGCAGGTCTGTACCTGTTTGTCCCAGTGTCTATGATGACCCTGCTTGGCTCCGTAGTGAGAAGCAATACTGTGGCCAGTGCAGCTTCTGCAGGCCTTGTGTCCTGGTTGAGCTTCTGTGACTTTCTTTGGCTGTTGTTCCAGAACCCACTGTGAGGAGTTCTTCATGGCTGTTACCACAGAGATCTGGACATGCATTTCTTTATTGTACAATCAGATCAACTGTATTATACGGTTACGATGTCTCTTGAGCTAATGTCTCAAAATGTAAACTTTATATACTTTTACCATCTCGGGCAGTGTGCCAGAAAGCAAGAATGCAGCCCATAAGCTTCTGAGTCAGTTGGCTTTGTGGGAACTGCTGCAGACTCCTGCCTAGAGGAAACAGAACTAAGAGCCAGCCTTGGACTTCTACAGTCAACAGTCCTTCATCGTTTTCTCTTCTTAAGTAGCATTCCTCAGTGAGCGCCGTGTGAAGGCCAGCAATGGCTCAGGGGTCAGAGTGCTGCCACCAAACCTGACCCTGGAACCCACACCTCGTTTATGTTGGTGGAAGGAGAGAACCAGTTTCTGCAAGATGTTCTCTGACGTGCCATGACACCCAAATAAATGAAATGTTAAAAAATATTAAAGCACCATTTGAATTGAAATTCCAAATAGATTATTTTATGGCAGGCCCTGACATTAAAAATTGTTTCTCTTTCATTATACTTTATTCATTTACTTATTTGTGTTATATGTGTGTTGGGGAGTGCACACAATACTTGTGTGCAGGTCAGAGGACAACTTACAGGATTGGCTTCTCCTGCTACTGTGTGGGTCCCAGGGGTCGAACTCAGTTTGTCAGGTTTGGTGGCAGTCGCCCTTACCCACTGAGCCATCTCACTGGCCCTTCTGTTTTAAAGATAATCTGGCCAGGAAGGCCAACTCTCCTTAGCTTCTATTCACTGGCCTCACGTTCTAACATCTGAGTGGGTAAACTGCTTCCTGTCTGTCTGTCTGTCTGTCAGGAGCGGTCAAACCTATAGCTTCATTGTGAGATGTGGTTCTCTGAGCTGCTGACAGCAGAGAGCTTTGCCCCACGCCTGAGGACCAGTGGTGACCAGCCAGGGCTCCATTGCAACTGCTGCCTCTTCCCCCGCCTTCCTCTCCCTGGAGATCTGCCCAGCACTAGATAGGCCACCAAAGGCCCAGCCTTACCAGTGTTCTGGGGATCGATTGTGTGAAACTTGAGCTGCAGGTCACAGAGCCTCCTCAGCTCCTCCCTGAGAGAAGCTCCAGTTGACGGCTCCGTCTGAGACCCTGCAATCTTACTGTATGCAGAGCATCTTGTGTTTATCATTAAAATTTTATCTGGCGGTTACGATGCTTGTTTTCTGGGTCAGCTCTTGAATCCTTTTCATTTGAGACAGTGGTGTTTGTGGTTACCTCATTCCCAATCAATGTTGTATTCTCTAGGCTTTCTGCAGTTCAGCATCTCCAAGGAGCCTCTTAAAGAGACAGCATGGCCTCTCCTGCTTTTGCTCATGCTGATTTCCATACTCTCCTTGTTCCTCTTTGTTTGGCAGAAGTAGAACCTGACCAAAGGCTGTGCTCCACGCTTTAGCCTCTGAGATCTACTCCTGCGGCTGAAATGCAGGCTTGCTCCTCCCCACCTTGGCATTCTCTGTGTAGTGGCCTTGCCTCCTTTCCTGTCGTAGACGTTCTTGATCGTCCCCTCCCTGACGTACAGGCTCCCGTGTGGTCTGGGCCACACTGTCTGTTGAGTCACCTTGCATCTGTGAAGTCTGAGCCATGGTGAATATACCGTGGTGTTCACACTTTCACTCTCAAACAGTGAACTTCAGTCACTTCAAGACTCTGCAACTGCTGCTGCTAAGTCCAGAACATTCTTGACACCCTGCAAAAAACCTATTTCCTGTGCTTTTTTTTATTTTTTAATTTTTTTTATTTTATTATTATTATTATTATTATTTTTGGTTTTTCGAGACAGGGTTTCTCTGCAGCTTTAGAGCCGTGCTTTGTTTTGTTTTTCAAAAGGTTTTTCTGTGTAGCCCTGGCTGTCCTGGAACTCTTTTGGTAGACCAAGCTGGCCTTGAACTCAGAGATCCACCTGCCTCTGCCTCCTGAGTGCTGGGACTAAAGGTGTGCCCCACACTCAACAACCCCAGTCCCCATTCTTGATGGGCCATTTGAGCCCTGCCTCTTTCCAGAAGTTCTTGAGTACTCTTGATTAAGACAGTTACCCTGGGGTGTGTGTGATGCCATGTTACCCTGGGGTGGTGTGTGATCCTCTATTACCCTGGGGTGTCTGTGATCCTCTATTACCTTGGGGTGTCTGTGATCCCCTGTTACCCTAGGGTGGTGTGTGATCCTCTTACCCTGGGGTGGTGTGTGGTCCTCTTACCCTGGGGTGTGTGTGATCCTCTTACCCTGAGATGTGTGTGATCCTCTTACCCTGGGGTGTGTGTGGTCCTCTTACCCTGAGATGTGTGTGATCCTCTTACCCTGGGGTGGTGTGTGGTTCTGTTACCTTGGGGTGGTGTGAGCCCCTGTTACCCTGGGGTGTGTGTGTGATCCTCTTACCCTGGGGTGTGTGTGATCCTCTTATCCTGGGGTGTGTGTGATTCTGTTACCCTGAGGTGGTGTGTAGTGCTGTATGTGATTTTGTATGGAATAAGCATCAACATTTCATGCATAGCCTTTCTCCCCTCCCATTATACTCCATTTTCCCTGGGAAGGCAGAGAAATGTTTGGGATTTTTTTTGTTTGATTGATTGATTTTTAGTTGTCACAACTTAAAACCATGGAGTTTTGAGCTTGGAAATGACTTCAGTGCTGATCTTGTTCTAGAACTCTAGGGTGTAAGTGGCAGAGACTGTGCACACACGCCACCCTCCCATCTCCTCTGAAGCCTGTCACAGTATCAGTTTATTCTTTTAAGATGCTAGCCCAGTCACATTCTTTTTGCAGAAGTGTTAGAGAGTGGCTGGAGTCTCCTGACCCCATAGTCTGCACCTGTAACTTGCTGCACCGTGTGCGTTGGTTTCCAGGCTGGTTTTCACTTATTTTCACATAATATAGTCAAAGCTTATATTGCATATTATTACTTTTTTCTTGCAGAGTTTTTCTATGTTACTTTTCATTACTTTCTTAGATTTAATGCAAAATTCCCCAGCTTGTTCCTAGTTTTCTCCTTCATTCACCCAATGGCAGACATTAAATTAAGTCGCTTTCTGTTTCCTAATTGTTCTGAGAAGTGTGTTGGAGGATGACATAGGACATATAGACACAAATTAGAAGGTTGTGATATCACTAGGCTACATACTCTCTGAGGGATACAGTTGTGTGTGGACTGCTGCTGAATGGGCCGTTGTGTGGCACACGATGTGGTGGTGTTAAGAGCATTTCATGTGGATGGCCTGCAGATGGTTTTGTTTCTGTTTTGGTGCCGCAGGTTGTCTCTAAGATTATAAAGCAGAGGCTGCTGCAGAAGCTTGGTGTCCTTTGTAAACAGGTGTTCAGTTCAGGTTCTGTGCTATCGCTGTGTTGATAGTTTTCTAGTTGGAATCCCTTCTGTGAGTCTGTGGACTTAAAGGAATTTTCTATCTTCCAGATTCAGAGACTTCAAAAGCTCTTCCATAGCCCTCAGTTTTCCCAGTGTGACTTTGTGATTTGAAGTTCGCAAATCACACCTCACGCTTGCTCCTGTACACATCTCCTTACTTCTGGATGTTGCCAGAAATACCTCTGCTCTCAGGCCTCTGGTGGTTTTCTGGCTCATAATCTACCAGCCGCTACCTCTTGAGCATCTTGCGGTTTGATCCTGTTGACTGCACCCTTCTTGTGAAGGCAGGGTCATGTGGTCAGCACCTTTGGCCCCACAGCTCCTGCTTGAGCCTAGCACCCAGCTGACATGGGGAGCAAGTCCTGGAATCCCAAATGAAGTCTCCCTCGGGCCTTTCCTCTTGTCTTACTGAGTCTCCATAGGTTACTCAGCCAGGAAACCAGCGTCCCAGAACATGTGAGGGCTAGCTGAGACTGCTTCTGCTAGGACTAGCGCTTCAGACATCTCTGTTCCAGCTAAAATTTCCCACTTCTTAGGAAAAAATTATGTTCAAGTTCATTCTAAGTACAGCCCCTTCCTGTCCTGCCAGACTCAGTGTCCTCCTGTGTGTCTGTGCTCTGGCCCTTGCTGTGCTGGCCAGGCAGCCCCAGCCTGCCTTCTGTGTCACATTTCATCTGCAGAGCTGGTTGGCAATGCGTCAGGGAATGTCTGTTTCTTAACTTTTAATTTTGTAGGTGACTGCTGTTAAAATTTTGGGATGTTCTTTAAGTTGTATGTTGGAATTGAACGTGTAGCTCAGGAGAAGTGTGCTTGTCTGGAAAACACGAGGTGTTAGGTTCAGTTCCTAGCACAAAGGAAAAGAGCATCAGTAATGCTGCGTGGATTCATGGAGGAGAGTTAATAGGGGCAGAGAGCTGCGATAGGCTCTCTGTCCTCTGGGGCTTGGCTACTCTTCTCCCCAGTGGTCCTGTGGAAGTTAAGACTTGCAAACAGATGGCATCGTGGACTCCGAAAGCTCACAGCACCAGCCCAAGGTGTGGGGCCAAGTTGCATTTGCTATGAGTTCTGCTGGAGAGCCATCTAAAGGAGAGCAGCCCAGGCAGAGCCTGGGGGTCCGGGGAGCTAAGCCTGGGCTCCTTTAAGGTCCCATGCCAGCTCTGCCGTCATTAAGCTATTAGCTCACCGAAAGCTTTTATCCATGCCCAGGAGTGTATGGCGGTGTGTAGTTACCTCCCACTCGCTTGGGATCACATGTCTGTGGCGGCCCGTTTCCATTAGTTAGCTCACTTTCTA